TGAACACTTTCCGTTAGTATCGAAAAAAAACGAATAAAAACAATTACACGACAATCGACAGGATACCGTAGACTCTACCTGTAGACACAATCGACCCGACGGAAACGAACAAACTGATTAATGATTAGGTACAAGTATACACCATGATCGACGAGATGGGTTTTTCCCGCCGCCGACTGGAAGTTTTTCAAAGAATTGTTTTTCACTATATTATAATGATCGGCGATTCCGGGAACACTAATTATTATCTGTTATTGTGCTTGCGAGTGGTATTGACCGTATACCGATAACCTAAGCTATACTCCCTGAAACCGTGGTACAAAACTTACGGTCTCCATCTTGACGAGTAAAATCTCTTGGAAATAATTAATAATATTATGTATGATTGTAATATACTATAGGGGTAAAATTGAAATCTACGTTTACATAATTACATAATGTACATATATACATGCTGTACCATCTTATATAAAACCGGTATGATGTATTTAAAAATATACATTATTATTGTACGAAAATGTCACATGTATACATTATTTTACGGCCGTATAATATTATGTTCACTTATGTATTACTATTTTTGCTTCCCAATAGTCCTACACGGATAAACTCCTAACTCCTAACTCCTATTACTACTACTACTGATTTATACTATATTATGAGACGCTCCAGATGAACAGGGTTTAATGAAACACCCACACTGTCAGCGCAGTACAATGATTTTATTCTTTCTGCCCTGTTAACATTTAAGTATACGTTTTCCACTGCAAATTATGACGTATCGACTTCATGCGCAATAGTCGTACAAATGCATGCTACAATTGTGTCCCATTATTTTCGTTTTTTTTTTCAAGTTCCTCGGTGGAGGGGGGGGGCGATGTAACGTAGTGATTTATATGTTCTCCCGAACACCATTGGCCTTAAGCGCATGTGAGAGGTTTTCGCGGTTTATATATACATTTATAATTGAGATTCATGCGGATCTTGCGAACGCGGTTTTTACGACCGGGTTTCCTGCACGAAAATCGGTAACTGGAAACGTCGAAAGAAATATCGTTCGGTCTCGCCTTTATCGCCATCTTATGCTCGTTCCTAATTTATCGTATCGGACCGAGCTTCGCCGAATGCAGTCTAGTGGTACCTTATATACGCCATTCACCGCGCACTGTAGCCGGTCCGTCCGCCAGCCACGCGAAAAACCCTCTCGCGAAACAATACTTTTTCGCCCGCCACCGCCGCCGCGTCCCGCTGACAGGATAAAAATGCTCGGGGTTTTTATTATCATCGTTATTGTCATTATTATTACCAAGCCATTGTCACGAGATGTTTTGCGACGTTTTTTTTTGCGTTTACACTGTATACATATATTATTGTACCAATAAATATCGTAATATTCGTAAAACACACGTATACTACGTGTTTACAGAGAAAATCATTATCTATTTTCACCCCGGTGCAGCAGACAATGGTTTTTGAAAACGGAATCGTTCGGAGGGAGGTCGGAAAATAACAAACGTTTCCGCATCATATATTATTTATGCCACTGTGCCACTCCTGCAGTTGGTCGAGTTTCACGCGCGGATGCGTGAATTATATGTATACATTATACATAGGTGCTTATATTTATTTAATCTATTTACATATACATTTATATATGTATAAATATGTATATATTATTAAAAATCTTGACGATCTGATTTTTGTCACACAGTTGTAAGATTATAGAGCCAAATAATCGATTTACACGGTTGTAGTGTTATACCAAACAAGGTTTTTTTGAGTATACTGCTCGACCTCCTGACCATGGATATTATTATAAATTTAAATATTTTACTGATGATAGGTACAAGGTGGTATAAAGGCCACCAATAAAATTGTAATCAAATATTTTCTTAAGACCTATAAGAAACTTATAAATAAATCGATGAGTTGAATAATTTGACAAAGTCTTCATTTTTTTTGTCGTATATGGCATATAATATGTAGTCTATTGTCCCTTTATGGAAGTACTCAAGTACAATTGTAGGACTTACAAGACGTGAGAAAATAAAATAAATGAAGAGCAGTTGTGATTTATTTCTCATTTAATACTTAAGTTCTCTATTTTTTGTAATGTTCAAAATATTTTAATTATGATATTATACTGCATGAGTAAAATATGCTTTTACTTTACCTATTATAATTGATGAAGTGAAATTAGTGAAACTGGATGATAAATATTTCATAGTAGTGGAGGTACCTAAATAAATTATTTTACAATAAGTAACACGAATACTGTTCGTATTGTGACATTGTATTTTTTATATTGTCTGTTGTTGGTGAAAATAAATATCTGCTTTTGATCCCAAATTATATAGGTATACCGTGTAATTTCATTTTTTTCTCAACCGAACGCTACAGAGTTCAATGGATACAACTGATACAAATATTTTCGGTCAGTGGAACGAATCGTTACTGAAAACAAGATCATAATATAAATCATTGGTATTTCTAAATATTGACACAATAAGTACCAACATTCATCCTTGAGTAATAAAAACAAATTTCACGGTTTCATTTGTGTCCTTTTTACTTGAAAACGTGTCTAAAATAAAAACCAAAACCAAATAAAATCCTTGTTGTATCATCTACCTGAGTGAACCTGTTGAATTACAAATTTAATTACGAATTCGGATTTATACCGTCCTACTAAACAAGATTGTGCATTGTAGAGCTAAGATATACTTAAACTTCGATTGAAATCTAGGAAATTATAGTAGAGTTTTACTTAGTCTTAAGCTTTAGCTTAAGTTGATATTGAATATCAGCCCTGAGGCCTGAGAGGACGTCAGCGCAATATTAGTTTTCTCTTCCAGACCCAACACAGATAATATTTTTGAAAGTATGACATAATATCGGTTTTTTATTTTGATTTGTATTATACTTTGTATTCGAGTTTCAAAATAAAATGAAAAGATTTTCTTGAAAGCAGATCTTTATTTCCCGTAACTTATATCAAAAGCCTTAAAATTTAAAATGACAGTTTTAAAATTACCTAATAAATAAATCTTTGGCTCTGGTATTTGATTAGTGAACCTATGATATAAACTACATCATATAATATCTGAATATTATGTATTTGCTCTTGAAAATTTTAAAAATGTGTAATTAATAATCATGTTTATAATATCAAACACTAAGACTAACTACGGTTCATGTTGAGAATCTCGACAAAATATTTACAAAATATGAGCACATTAAATCTTGTTTTCATTCTAAACTTTTTCAAATTTACTAAAATACTACTACCTCATTTTAAACAGCCGATCTGCATTTTAATTAAATATATTAGGCATTATAGAATAGATTTTTAGAATCTTCGTATTTTAATTGTTTTAAACAATTTATTCACCAGTCGATTGAATAAACAAGTGATCTGTTTATAACTAATTTTATTTATTTTTTAAATAACAATATGAAACACATTTTTACACAATAAAATATTGTATACATACAATAACTTGATACATCATAATTTATATAATATGTGCTGGCAAGAACGGTTGGCGGTAAAACAAAACCAAAATCGCTAGGAGAGCCAACTAAGGTTGCTGACGGAAAACGACGGACTTAAGTACAAAACCAAAATAAAATGAGGCAAAGTCAACGGGTCCACTAAGTCAAACGAGCGGGCGCGTTTTGCACAACTCGGACCGCGTATAACACATCTACACGGTTATCGTGGACACTAGCGGAGACCATATTATATTTTATATTGTAGAGTTGTCAACTCAAAAAGCCACTTTTGGCTAACCGTACATGTAAACCAATTATTATTGAACCATATATTAAGATGTAAGAATATTACAATCGTCATTTTAAATACACATATGTAATGTGGCTGAAAATTAATTAGCCATGTACCTATTTTATTTTCAATGTTCAACAATATTATAATATTATATTTCGTTGTCATGGATATGTACATTCGTCTGAATGTTTATTCATACGTCTTATAACAAATTTTGTTTCAGTCTATTACGAGGCATTACCCAAACTATTTTTTGTCTCATAAATTATTTAAATAATTTAACTCAATTATAATATATTGAAATTCAATTTCTGGATTTTTAAACAAAACCATCATGGAAAGTTTCACAGAAGCAGACCATATTACAACGCCAGAACAATTGGATGTTCCGGCTGTTGCATGGAGTTTGCAGCAATGCGAGCATAGCACCCGCCTTAGCGGATGCAGTATTTTGTCGGAAGACAAAGTGCACAGGGTGGATGACCCTACACTGTCCACGAGGCCTACAATTTTATGTGATATCAGTGAGCTCAGTGTCCAAAAACCAACGACGATGTTGACTTCGGCAGATTTAAAAGTGTTGGACGAGGTGGCTGAGGACTTACTGAAAGCCGCCGTTCAGAGGTCATTGAATTTACCACCCCTCTCTCTGGGTCCGAGTGACGAGCGGTCGTCGTCTGTTTCAAGCGGTGATAGCAGTATTGCATCACAACAACCGGAGGCGCCGAGTATTTTTGTAAAGAGCGTCTTGGACAAGTTGCTGGAGTTTGACGAAGTCGCGTCAGAAATCCGAAACGCCAACACGAAGTACGGTAAGCACCTTCCGCCGTTACCGCGGTGTTTTAGCAGTGCTCCGGAAGTTGAATACTTGCCACCGATAGCACGGCATTCTGAAGACGGTGATTGTGTGGCACCTAGTGTTTTGGGCAATAACGTGCAACAAACAACCACGGCCATCAACCAGCTGCCACCGGACGTCCTGGAGGTCAAGAGCGTGATTCAGACAGAAGAATATGAGAAGGCAGTTCAAAGCACGGCCATAGACGAAGCAAAAAGTGACGGTGATTGTGTGGCGCCTAGTCTTTTGACCAATAACGTGCAACAAACAACAACGGCGAACAACCAGCTGCTGTCGGACGTAGATTGTGAGCCGGACGTCCTAGAAGTCTAGAGCTTGATTCAGTCAGAAGATATTGCAGAGGAGGCAGTTCAAAGCATGGCTATAGACGTAACAAAAAGTGATGGCGACGAGATCGAACCGTCAGCGACCTCGGCCACGGTAAAGTCAGCAGCAGCAGCAGCAGAACAACCGCTGCAAGATCGTCGCAGGCCGTCCATCACCTCCAGATTGGGGAACCGACTCCTCAAGGTCGGCAGATTGTTGTTCTGCTGTTGTTGTCGTCCGAATAATAATGATTAGAGTGGTACCCTGGTACCGCGATGTGGCTCATCCGCGTTTTCGAGCACCCTTGTGCCTCGTCGCATTTTTTTTTTACATTTTTCTTTTAGTTTTGTACCGACGTCCGTCGTTTTCCGCCGGCAACCTTTTAGTTGGCCCTCGCGATTTTTGTTTTTATGTTTTTCCGCTTACCATTCCTGCGGGTATCTAAATACATTAAGATGTATTCAATATATATATATATATTATATTATTATATTTTTTTTTTTTTTTTGAATATTATATCATACATATTATATTACCATGTATGTATTCAGTATTTCTTTGTGTAAAAATATGTTTCATACTGTTAATTTGAAAAATAAAAATTTGTTATTTACAGAACACTTGTTTATTCAATTGACTGGTCTATGTATTATATAAAACAATAAAATACGACGATTCTAATAATCTATTAAATAATACCTAAAATATTTAATTTAAATACGATAGCAGAATAATTGTAGAAAATTTAAAAAAAATATAGAATGAAAACAAAATTGTGCTCATATTTTATTGATATTTATGACATAAACCATTATAGTTAGTTTCGATATGAGTGTTAATATAATACAATACATAACATAAAGGTGAAATACGAGCAGTAAAAATAATAAAATGTAATCCCTTATGGCTTGTATTGTATTATTCGTACATACTTTGTTATGATATTACATGATATTGTATATTATGTTATTCGCAGTAGTTCTTTTAACAAGGAATAGGTATTCATTTCTTGGAAATACTCGTACTTGTAAAATGTTAACTATTTACTAGCAAAATCTAACACATACGTAGTTATACAATTCAACTATATATTATAAATTGCTCTTATTTTTTTCACAATATGTTTTTAGTGAAACTATCATTCATTATTGTATTTTTTTATTCAGACGTTTTAAAATAATTTACATTTGATTCAAAAGGTCGTAGTATTATAAATATTGATTATGTAATAACTTAACTTGTTAATGTAAAATTGTATATACACAATTAATTTAATTATTTTTATATATAATAATGATTAAGTTAATTGAAAGTATATCGACCCTTTTTATAGCACTTTTATAAGACAGCGATTTAATGCATAAATTTAATTTATTACATATTTATTTTGTTAATCACAGTAGAATCTCAATGATTCAGAGACAGACAGGGCCCAATTACTTCTGGTTATCAAAAATGTGATGTAGTTATTATTGAATTATTGCTGCTATTTCACTGCACTTTTAGAATTACCATGCTATTTAATAATACATTTATTGATTACAGAAAAAATCATTATTATCATTTTAACTTTTATAATGTTTTTAAATATAATTAGGTATTTAGGTACATAGAAAGCATTTACATGCAATTTAAACACATTTTAATTTTTAATGAATAGCATGATTCAGTTGTTTTTATTTCATTTAATGTAGTATACATTAAAAACATATTTAAACGTTTTTATATCATAATATTATACTCGTTCAAATGTCAAATTAATGTTCAATAAATATAATCTAAAATATGATAAAATATACGCACATCCGCCGTATAGAATTTATTATGTAATTAATGTTTGTAAAAATATTTTGAAGAAATCATAAGGTAAACTAATTAAATTAAAACTATTTTATAGTAATGATTTTTAACAAAAAAAAAAAACCATAACTTAAAACACCTTCGATTTGGAATTCCATATTTCCATATATAATATTTTAGATGGAACGAATAGAACGATCAGGAAATAATTCATGTTATACAAATGTGAATTGGTTATGTTATCATAGAAATCGTATCCCACCACGAAATCCTTATTACACTTGTCTACATTCTACAATATTAATTGCATTCTATAATACATTAAGACACTCTGAGGTATAAGATACTATTATATTCAATAACTTTCGAATAATAATATAAGGGTAAGTAAATCTATTATATATACGAGTATGTCGTTCTTGGTGTGTGTAAGTCTTTTAATTTGTTTAGTGCTAAACAATCAAACCTGTATATAACGCAAACAGGTCAATTATTGCAAGTATTGCTACCTATATTTAAACAAGTCACATAGTTGATAATTAATGATAGTGACGAGGTTTGAATTTCAATCTAGTATTTCTTCATGACAATTGTGCAGCAGCTTATTTATACATATCATTATGATATTTTATGATACCTTCGCGTTTTTTATGTTTAGTAAAGCAATAAATACATACAGGTTAGGATGAGTTTTTTTTTATCTAGTCATATTGTTTCAGGTACCTAACATATTTTATCTAGTTTCAATTCTTACAGACTAAAAACAAAGAATTCACAATTCAAAATCAACGGAAATTTGTAAGACATTATTTTGTAATTTTGTTGTAATTCATAAATGTACAACTGCAGAGACTTTAATTTTTCACCTAATTTATTTTATATTTTTATTTTTTAGTTATAATACCTACCTATATAATTTTTCAAAATATTTTGGATCTTATTACTCTTTTTTTCGATTGTTTGAATGATACACTTTTTATAAGTAGTGGCAAAAAATCTCTAAAATGTAATACAAGAATCTCTTTAACTTATAAGTTGATATTACAGCAATTAACAAATATCAAAAATACGCACAGTTCACATCTAAAACCTACATTTGTATTATAACCTTTAAACGTTAAAAATGTCTATGGCTTGAACATTTAATGAATGATTCCAAGTATACATTGTTACTGAATTTAAAAAAAAACGTAGATCAAAGAACCAGAGATATATTTTATGATGGAATGAAGTTGAAATTTTAACGAAATTGTATATCTAAATGTACAATAACGATTTATCCTCAAATAATTTGTTTTTATTTTTAGTTTATTTTTGTAGAAACTTTAAACATTCCACTAATCATTGTCATTTAACTTATAATGTTCTAAAATATACAATTCAGTTTCATAATATTTACGACACCTAATCAGGTTTGACAATTTAATACAATGTTTCCAAGGGTTCTCGTAAAAATCTCAAACATACATGATATGCATAGTTTTATAAACATTTCAAGTTCAAATGTTGATGTAATTGGATATTGAATAAAAAAAAAAACGTTTTTAGTAATTTTTTTATATGAGATGTACCTAAATCAAACACTTTTATTTGTAGGCACTTGTAACAAGTATATTGAGAGTTTATTAAAATTAAATACCTATTATGCAAGTTAAATTTTTAAGATACTCATATTCATTTAAAGCTATATTTCTTCATGCTGTAATTCAACAGTAAGCCGTTATATTGACTTATAATTTTATAACAGCTAGTAATATTATATGAAATAATAAAACATTATTATCTTATGCAATATACGATTATTTTTTTGGGGGGGAAATACGTATAGTTAAACGTACTGAATAACTATAAAAAAAATTATTAATTACGGATGGCTATGTAAATATAATATAAAATATCTTCATAAATTTAGGCCGAATGTCTTGGAATCGTTTTTTTATACAACAATTTATCATTGAATTCAAATTTAACAGTGACCTTTTCAATGACAATTGAGTATATTCGACACCTACAGCGACTTAGCTGGTTACTTTCTACGTTATTTTTCAACAGTTTCCATTAGTTACTCATTATTTATTGCGTCTGTTTATTTTACACGTATAATTGTAAGTGTGTAATTTTTGTCATAGAAATAATTAATAAAATCATACAACACCAATATAATATGAGTAGATGTATAAAGATCATCTTAAAAATAGTGTATAATATGTATGTCGATAGAAAATAACCATAAATCATAGTTTACACATAATAATGTTTTACAAGCTTAAACATTTTGTAATACCTATACTATTCAATTTAACCAATTTAACAATAACCTTGGTCATTATATATAAGTAAATAATATATGACATAGGAATATTATAATATATTATATTATATTATATTTTATCACTAATAATTATACTTTTTTTAAATTTAATACAAACTTAAAATACTGAAGTTAACATAGTTGACATCAAAAATAATTGTTTTTCCCTAAACATTACACCCTTGCAACAATTTAAATTATTAATATAAATATATGATTAATAAACCTTAATTTTAATTTATAAGATTATATTATTTAAAAAAAAAATGATATATATTTATTTTCGGCCTGAATATTATTATATCCGTGCATATTTGAATTTTGTAATACCTACAGTATATCGTAATAAGTACCTAAATACATAACATGCACTGCTGTCCGTTTTAATGTTATATAGCCGATTTCAAATGCCATATACAGAACGATGTATTGACCCCAACAATAATTACCGACGCGTCACGGCAAAAAAGAATGATGTGATAGCGGTATCATATTATATACGCGTATACCTGCCTTAAACGAGTACTTTGGATGCGACTCTCGTGCGTGAACGTTGGCAGGAATTCTTTCTCCGTATAATATAATGCGGTGCAAATAACACCGGCACCGGAAGGGGTTTCGCGGGTGGGAAGGGTGGTCGGGTGAAAGAAGATAGATAACACGACTCCCGGAACACAACGGGCTCCTTGAATATTTCGAATGCAATCCGGTAGTTTATCATTTCTAGGAGGGGGCGGGTGTGGCATATAGATGATAAAAAAAAAGTAAAATAAAAAATTGGTAGAGGCGCCCCGTTTTTCTCCTCTGCATTGTCGGGGATGGGCGAATAAATCTCCAGGATCAAAAACGCGCTTGCGCGGCCCGGCGACGACCCGAACGTGATAAAGTGCCCCGAAGGCTTTTATTTTATCTTAAATTTCTCGAGACGCAGTTTCTCTCTATCCTTGCGCGTATAATATATATATATACAACAGCTAGTGGTGGTATATATATATATATATATAATATATATGTGTATTATACACGCTGCAGTACGTCCGCTCTTGTCCTCTACCCGTCTTTTTCGATCTCTCACCCCCTCACGCGCCGTCCCGTCCATCTATCTTTTACTCGAATTCTTTCTATCTCTGTGTTTATTTATAATACACGACGGCTGCAGCGAGAGGACTATAGGGGTAAAAATGGCTCTATACCCGTTTGTCTGGGCTGTCTGTACTGGCTGGCCACCGGTTTTTATATTGTTTTATTGCCCCCCGATACTGTAACGATCCCTTTGGTCCTCTTCGTAGGAAAAA